TGTAACAACGACAACAAGAACATCATCATCAGTAACAACAACAATAACAACATCATCAGTAACAACAAGAACATCCTCATCAGTAACAACAACAACATCATCATCTGTAACAACAACAACAACAACAACAACAGTATCTTCAACAATGACATCAACAACAATGATGATGATGATGATGACGGTGATGGCAGTGTAAACGACAACAACAACAGCAACAACAGCCGCAACAATACTATTGATAACAACAACAACATTGAAAAAAATGATGATGTTGATGTTAGCAAAAACATTAATTACATCAATATTGCCACTGCGGAGACTATATCTACAAAATTTTCGAACAAACACAACAACAACAACAACAACAACAACAACAACAACAACAACAGTTACATCAATATGAGTAATTATCCAATTGATAAAAACGATAGCACAATGAATGTTAATGCCCCAATCAACCACAACAACAACAACAACAAAATTGTAGATACTTGTAGCATTGTTGACAACAATATCGTCATCAACAACAATAACAACAACAGTAATAACATCATAATTGATAGTGGAGTTATGAACGACGATTCAAATACTAACTTATATGCGTCTTCACTATGTCAACACCAACATCAACAACAACAACAGCAACAACAGCAGCAACAACAACAACATCAACAACTACAACAGCAAATTCAAGAAAAGATAATCAAAAAATCCGACTTTTCTATTATTAATATTCTAAACTCTAACAACAACAACAACAACAACAACAACATCAACAAAAACATCAACAACAACAATAACAACAACGATAACAACAACAACATTGATGAAAAATATAACGCTAGTAACAAATTTTACGCGACGACCGATAAAAGAAATTTCGTTAAATTGAAAATCAAACACAAATCAAATAAACAACATTTTGACAACAGCAGCAACAACAACAACAACAGCAACAACAACAAAAACAACAACGATAATAATAACAACAATAATAATCCAGATAACTTACGCACAAACAATAATATCAGCAATAATGACAACAACAACCATATCAACAACAACATCAACAACAACAACCCATGGTTCTCTTGGTACCAATCAGCCATAGTCAGTAAGTCATGATGGTGATGATGACAACGACGAAGAAGCTGATGATGATGGGAACAATGGTGATGATGGTGATGATGATGGTAATGATGATGATGATGATGGGAACAATGGTGATGATGGTGATGATGATGGTAATGATGACGATGATGATGGGAACAATGGTGATGATGGTGATGATGGTGATGATGATGGTAATGATGATGATGATAGTGATATTGATGATGATTGTAATGACAACAATTTAAATCCTTAAAAAACAACCTAAAAAATTTGGCTATGGCTAGGTCAGAATGAACTTTGAGATTTAAGTATTGGTTTAAAAATTAATTAAGTAATTAATTAATTAACTAGTTAGTTAATTAATCATAACCAATTACAGGTCATCCTTTATTTCATTCATTTTTTCTCCAAAATCGTCCTTCCATTCCTCCACTCTCCATCTTTCAATCATTGCATCAACAACAACAACAACAACCGCACTTGCAACAACAACAGCAGCAGCAACAACAACAGCAGCAACAACATTTCGAAAATCTTTTAAGATTTTGGTCAAAATCTCATGATATAAAAAACAATACATCACCCCAATTGATGGCGTCATCCTCGAATTTTCAACTACAATCACCAGCAACATCATTATCATTACCAGCAACGGCATCATCATCATCATCATCATCATCACCATCAACAACAACAACAACAACAACACTATCGTCATCATCAACAACTACTCCGATATCACGAAACGAATTGACAACCAATCAGAGGAGAGATTGCATTTCGGCGGCTAATCAGCAACCAATCAGCGTTCTCGAGGCAAATAATTACTCCAATAAACGTAATTACAGCTTCGACAATGACGTCAACAAAAACATAAATAATAATAACAATAATAATAACAATAACAACGACAACAAAAACAACAATTCTAACTGCTATAATAATATTCCTGCTACTACTAGTAATCTAATTAATAACAGTATAATACTAGATGGAGATTTTATTAATAATAACAACAACAACAATAATAATAATAATCATAATAAAAATGATAATAACATTAACAGCTATAATTCAAAAAATGCTGCTAATAAAGATTGGTACAGCTTACAGTCTAACAACAGCAACAGCAACAACAACAACAACAACAACAACAACAACAACAATAATAATAATAATAATAATAATAATAATAATAATATTCACAATAATGATAATAATAACAATGGCGGCGGTGCTGCTGATGATGATGATAAAATGGACGATGACGTCAACGATGACGAAGATTGTGACCCAATGAGGAACAAACGCAGAACTAAAAGGGAACTTAGATTAGAAGTAAACAACTACAACAACAACAATAACAGCAGCAACAACAACAACAACAGCAGCAATGACAACTACAACAACAGCAATAGCAACTACAACAACAACAGCAACAACAACAGCAACAACAACAACAATAATAATAATTACAACAACATTCATAATAATAACAACAATACAAATGTGATTAAGCACAATGGCAGTAGCGATAACAGAGCCGTAGTTTCGGCGTTGGACGCGCATTTCAACCAGCGACCCCACCATCATCATTCCCACCATCATCATCAGCAACAACAACAACTCAATCATCATCATCATCTTCATCACCATCACCATCATCATCTCCTTCATCAACTTCAGCAGCAGCAGCAACAGCAGCAACTTCAACAGCAGCATGATGACGTCAATATAGATGACGACGATGATGTTAATAATGAGGATAATGATAAGATCATCGATACAAACAGCTGCTGTGCTGATGATAATGATGAAGACGACGGTGATGATGACGATGACGAGGATGGGGTCGATGTTGACGGGGGGGTTTTATCCTGTGGGGAGGGCGGAAAAGGGGTTGGCGGGGCTGCTGGGGGTAATAATAAAAGAAAGAAAAAAACTAGAACCGTGTTCTCTAGGAGTCAAGTTTTCCAACTGGAATCCACTTTTGACGTGAAAAGGT